AGTAGTTTGTTTTCAGTTTTCTTTGAGAAGTTAGTGGTTGTGCCACCTACGGCTCTGGCTGTGTCAGCTCATTAAAGATAATAATTTAAAGGGAAAGTTATATTAGATATCCCTTGGTTCAACCCTTTCTAAATTAATTATTTTGATACAGTAAAAAAGTCTATTAAATTATTTTTTAATGTATTTTTAGATCACATAATGCGACTTTCCAATGCTAATTTGTTAACACTGTTAGTTATAAACTGTTATATATGATACCCCTGTTGTTTACTGACACAGCTGTGGGCTCCTTGACTATAACTTACTCTTGTTAGTGCTGGTCTTGTTTTACGCGTTAATTGTGCAGATAATGGCTGAAATAAGGATATGATGACGAAGAGCCGGTTACTATCACTTCTTTGCTGCGTTTAGGTAAGATTAAGAGGTTTGTTGGAGTGACCTTATACCGTGTACAGCCTTACAACTATCTACTTCACTTGATGGCCACAGCTGCCATAAACAGAGTCCAGTGCTTTATTATTTTATGGTTTGGTTAATATATAGGACTAACCCGCGGATGAGTTATTTTTATTACTTTGTTTTCGGTAAATTTTACTTTAGGACAAGAGTCAATGTTGGTCTTGGTGACTTACACTCGTTATTACACTTAGAACACTTCACTGAGGTTGGTAGAACACCATAAGATCTAAAAAAATGCTATTGGTTGTTCGTTTTTAACTCCATATAATTGAAGTGACACCCAGCGCAGACTTCCATGGTCGGAAATGTATTTGAATTTCGAAGTATGAGAGGCCCAAAATCACAATCGAATCTGATTGGGCAAAAAATACTGTCAATTCTAAAAGCAGAAACCACAATTAATTTTAATTGGTGGCAAAAACAAACAAATCGCTTTTGATTGGCCGCGTGACATGTACGAGAACGCATGCGCATGACGATTTATGTAATTTTCCCGGCATATATATGAAATTGAACTGGTTTGTGTGCCAGGTCAGTTGTGAAGTGGAAAAACCTTTGCAGTGAGATGTGCATGCACTAGTTGGAAAACTAGGAACCTATTGGGGGTGCCAAATACAGTTGTTGAGATAGATGGGGGTAAATTGGTAAGAGGAAGTTTTATCATGGGTGCCTACTAGTGAAGAGAGTCTGGGTGTTTGGCAGCATTGAGCGTGGATTGGGCCGCATGTTCATTGTATCAGTGGAACAAGGAGATGCAAACACCCTAGTTCTTCTATGCCAGAAATTCATTCTACCAGGCACCACTGTCTATAGTGACTGCTGGAAAGCCTGTGCCAGCTTGAGGTCATTGCGATTCTACCACACGACAGTTAACCACAGCCAACACTTTGTAGACCCTGTTACTAATATGTACATGAACAACGTGGAACAGTTGTGGAAGGATATATAGTCCTGGGTTCTGAGGGATGGCAACAGGGACTACCACTACAGGCACTAATTCACTCACTAACTGTTCTGCCACTTTCACCGACACTATACCACAATCATTCACCTCTTCCTCAAGACTGTGGCTCGCCGCTTCCCCCAGTCTCAGTAACAGTAAGTTCGCCTACGGCAACTGTTAAGTAAAGTTAAGTTAGGTTTAATTTCGATATTTGCACACTGCAAAATACAGTGAAATTGCTGTGTTTTTAAATAAATTTTCTATAAAAATTCGGTGATTGGTCAATAATTACCCAGGTGTCAGCTGAGGATGTTGGGAGGAGCTGAAGGCATCAGATGACATGTATATACAGTTACATAGTTTTATAAAGGAGAGTACAGTACAGTACAGTACAGTAAAGTTTTATACAGTATAATATTTGAAGAACTGGGAATTTGATTAAGATTTGTTTTAAGATGTGTGGTACAGAATTTGTCTGCTGTTTTATTTTAACTGGACATAAGCTATTACAGTATTTTCCAGATGGCAGTAGAAGATCTGGAGCCTCTCACCAGAACAGATCATGATGATGAAGGAGAGACAGAGGAGAGAGGAAAAGACACTGGGGAGACTCTCAATACCCTCTTGACCACAGCTCTTCATAAACATGCTGCTCGAAAACTTGGGAAAGTAAATACAGCAAGTATAATTTATTGATTGAGTGCTGTATTGGTAATGTCATATACGGGGTGCTAGGAGTATTCAGTCCTAAACACTAGGCCCTTGAAAATTGGATCCCTCGAGAAATAGTGGGTAAATGGATGCTAAGAGTGTTCGGTCCTGACAATGTATAATTGCATGACTGCAGTGATTGAAGATAACTGTGATATAGGAGTGACTAACCTAACCCAATTTTCTAGGGACCTAATATTGAGAGCCTAATTTTCTGGCCCTCATATAATGTTACCGTTTGTGCTACTCTAGAGATTTTCTGATTTTTATTCCATTTTGAGTTACTGTAGTAACATTGAATTGAACGTGTTAATGTTAAGGTTTTGTATGATACTTGTTAATCCAAATTGTATACAGTATAAATAAAATACAATTGTTTAGCATCTGTTTTGTAGCTCTTTTTTTCTGATGCATGTGTACAGTACAGTAAATGGAGTACAATTATAGTACAGTATGTTTAAAACAAAAAGAAGTGTTTGGTGCTGATGATCAGTATATTTGCAGAAACTTAACAAGAAAAAGAAGGATGAGGTTAAGACTGAAGACAACTCTCACCAGGAAACTGACAAAAAGTAAGGACATTGTATGAATTCCAGAAGGTTTATGTGTAGCTAACAGAATATTTTGTGTAGGATATTTTGTGGTAAGTTAAAGTATTAGTGTACAGTATAGAAGGCAATGCTACCAAAATAAACCATAGAGCTAACTCATGAGTGTTGTTCAGAATTCTTGGTCTGGTGTGTCATTTTGTGTAACACCGTGAAGATGCAGAATTTTTGTTGTTGGCTGTACTCAGTAACATTAACACTTATATAGATATATTGTTTCATAATTAAATGCATTTTTAATGCTGATTTTTCCTTTTTGTAATTCTTTGCCTATTGAAATAGATAAACACGTTGCTTTCCAAATTCCAAGATAAAAAATGTTTTTGGAGAGAGCATTTGTTAAACCAAGTCACCCAGAATAAGAGAGGATGGTGGGATGGGGAGCCAAGGGTGACTGGTTTACCCAGATAGGTTAATAAACCACCTTGACCTGCAAAAATAGGTTATGGCAGGTACTGGTATAAAACTGTTTCCAAGGCAACAGCCTGTACATTACAGTATTTATAAGAACCATCTGGCTATGGGCATCTCTAGAAAATGGACATTACGATTTAGCCATCATTTATGGCTTCAATGAAGAGTCATGTGACTCAGAATCCCTGTGTCTTCCATTGTTGGTTGAAAAAATTTAAGGGTGGAGCTTGTGAGACCCAAGTTTAGGGCAAGTTCTGAATTATGTGATACAACCTACAGCCCAGTAACCATTTGTCTTATATGCTGTGTTTTAAGTGCAGCTGTACCATGGTAGAGGTAGTACTGTATCACTGGCAAGTGGTAGTTTAGAACAACCTTTTACTGATCTGTGTTTTGTATTGTCTCTGCTTCTCAATTCAACAGCTTCTTAGACAGGGTATTTCTGCCAGGGGGAGTTGTCTAGGAGGATATCTCACAAGTCACTTCGTCACTTTGGGAAAAAACAACAACTTGGTTCTTTGTTTTTTCACCCCATTAGGTTGGGAGAAAAAAATGGATATAAATTAATTCAGAAATATATGTCAGTATATTATGAGTTGCAGATCAACCAGTAGTATTATAAAATTTAAGAATTGACTTTTTTTTTAAATTGTATACCCTGTACTTTTAAGCATTCAGATTTTAATGTAACAAGTTAAAAGTGATTCTTATTTTACTGTTTATATAGAAAGAAGAAAGAGAAAAAGAGTAAGACACTAAAGAAAAAAGATAAAAAAGATGCCATTGAGCTGCAAGTAGTGAAGGAGACCAAAGACTTAAAGCAGAGCAGACAGGAAAAGAAAAATGAGGTTGAGAGGCAGCAGGAGGACGATGCAGACCAGGAACAACAGGGACACAGGAGGGAAGAGAAGAGTCAGATTCGACACCTACAGGATTTATCAAAGGAAGATGAGGTTGGGATATATCCAGCTTGTTGAAACTATTTGCTTTTGGGAAGGACTCGATGAATTAATTATAATGCTCTGGTATTGGAGGCAGAGGGTAGGATCTAAAGTACTGTACTCTTTCTGTCTGATTTTGTATCTGTGCTAAACAAAATACAGGGCATCAATGGGGGGTGTAAAGTTCTTGGCAAAAGCTTGGTCCTCTGTAGTGGCTAAGGTGTATGGAGTAGGTAGTGCTCTGTAAGGGGACATAGTATCAAGGTAAAGTCACATAAAACAAAAGAATAGTAATTAAATTCTTATAATTCTTTCAAATTTTAAAATGTGTACATTCAGTTGACATTGATTTAATATGACTATAGAGATCAATCATACATCCCAATATCCATGGTGCAAATCAAGTCACTTCATTGTTTCTTGTTATAATCTTAGTCAGACAACCTCTTATTATATTGAACAACTTACTAGGGGTCTATGAACCCTTCAGTTAGGCCCTGAGTATCTGTCACGGTTGACCTGTTCATTTTTCATTAACTGATCAGTCCCCCCACACACTCAACATCAGTTGAGGGGACTTATTATTTTGGTGTTCATGATCCTCAAATACTTGATCAAAGGGATTTTTTAGGGTAATGAGAGGAGTGGAGATGAACCAGAGGCTGCAGAACACCTTACTAGTGCCATTGTCAGGTCCTCAACACAGGAGTACCTGAAGGCAGTCTCAGTACCAAAAAAGATGCCAACTGTGAAATCCAGGAGAACTACAAACAGTTCAGGTAGTACTTTACTTCAGGTACTGGGTATGTTTATTTGAACCAGGAAAATAAATCCCAATCTTATCTCTTCCTACTGTAATGACCAGATTGACTATATGTTGTGTCCTTGAGTTTGCTTATTTCACTTACTGAAATTAAATTTAGGAGTAAAAAGGATATTGTGACTGAATTATATTATACTCATGGGTGATTTTTTTTCATTACAGATAAAGTGCTTGGCATCACGGTCCATTGTGCAGACCGTTTTGAAGGCTCACCTCTGCTGTTGCCGCATCCAGTGGTGCAGGTTAGGTTCACACTCTTAAGGGGTTTTCATTTACAATATTAAGCATTATGTAAACTTTAGGGCTTGTTTTGCAATTAAAATTTTTGCCTATCATTCAGTAGGGCTGGTTGCTTCAAAAATTTATTAGCTTGGCTTACTTTTTACCAGTCCCAAATAAGTGTCAAATAACATCCACTAAAATTGGATGAGCACAAACAAACAGGAAATGGAATGTATTGCATGCCAAGCAAGTACAGTATATTAGAAAATGCAAGAGTAGATATACAGACACTCACTTTATGCAATACTCTGTATATATTTTAATAGGCTGTTTTTTATGTGTACATTACAACTGCTAGCATTTTTCCCTGTCCATTTCTTTTACTGAAAGGTTATTATCGTCATATTAATCTACTCAGCTATCCTGTTTCCCCAGGGTACATGAATTCTTCTACCTATTGCTCCTCACCTCTGTATCCCTGTGGAATGTTATCAATGAAAGTTGGCTGTTTACCCCACTACCAATCATTTGCACCACCAACCATATCTAGCACCATCCATTTCCACCACAAACTATTTGCAACACCAGCCATCTGTTCTACCAACTCTATCAGCTGTCTGCACCAACAGGTTCATTAGCCATCTACACCAGCACGGGCAGCTTGAACACTTTCCTCCTACACCTGGGTTGGCTGAATTGGTTAGAACTGAGATGTTAACCTGGTTGTGTTGGTATCTAGCAAAGCCAAACAAAACAGGATTAAAGATTTCACATAAGATTATAGAGCAAAAAAGATTATTAGCTTTTGGCCCACTTGCAAGTTTGCACATAAATTGTTTCCTTTCTTGAAATCTAGTATAAAGGTCAGCCCAACTGGAGCTGATATGGCATCACCATATAGCAGCATCTGGTAACTGTGAAGGCATAAACATGGTCTGCCCTGCTTCTGGTTTTTGTTTCTCTGTATTTCTGTGTCATTGTTGACTTTCCTTCTTGTAGTTTTATGAGGTAAGAAGTGTACTAACTAAAATTTACTTGTTGCAGGTGCATATTAGCAACAGTGATACAGGCCAGTGGCTCCAAAAATTAAGTAAAGATCGTAAAGTTACTTCTTATTATGAGGGGAGTGAAGTTGACTATATCCTTCCCATCATGACCCAGCCATATGATGTGAAGAAAGAAAGGTACTGTAGTTTATATCACTGAAATCCCACTGTAGGAGAGGATTGAACATTGAGATTTATGTGGTATTACACAATTATTTCAGTTATTTGTTTGTATATATGGACACTCCCAGTATTCACTCCCAGTAAATACTACTTCTTGCTCTGTCACTATGTTGAAATACACTGTAGTTTGAGCTTTTCCCCATCTAGTTATTATATATCTTATTTGTATCACTTATGTTACTTGTATATTATTTGTAATTCAAAACCCATTCCCCATATATGTAACTGTATATTTTCAGCCTTCTGGCTGCCAAGCTCTTTCAATAAACCGTTAATTATTATTATTATCATTATTATTATTATTATTATTATTATTATTATTATTATTATTATTATTATTATTATTATTATTATTATTATTATACTATATGCTTTTACATAGACTTAAAGGTGATAGGCTGAGCATTAGTAACTTTCCCTGGCAGATAGATGGGAGTCAGGGCAGTGTGGGAATTGTTATCAGAAGATGAAATGAAGTATATGGGTTGTAATTTTTTTTTTGGTTCTCTTTATTTCAGGAGTCTGTATTGTAAGTGGGAAGAACAGCTGACAATTAACGAACCAAGTAACCATTTCACCTCGGATGAACCCCAAGTGCTAATATTCTTTCAGCTCATGGATTTTCTTACCCCATCCACTTGTGACTCCAGTGCTCCATCTAACCAAAAGTTGGATTCTAGAAACTGTGGATGGATCACCTTTGCTTGGGCTTTCCTCAAAATCAGAGGTGCTAATAACCATGTTAATATTGGTCAACAGTTACGATTACAATTGTGGAGGCCCAGAAAATCCTCCAAGGTAGAACTTAGAGACATTTACAGCTGGTGGAAGAGTGGGAGCAGGAACAAGTATCCGTCAACACTTCACGTCACCTTGCAGGAAGTGTCCATTCCCCAGAATCCTCGTCCTGCCCTAAGGTAACTTTATAACCTAATGAAAGGAATCTGATGGAGATGATTTCATTCATTTTATCTGAAGAAGAAATGCAAAACTTGTTCTTTTAATATTTTGTTCATGCCATTGACATCAGAGCAAACTCTGAGATACTAAACATATCAACATTGCCACGGTAGAAATATCTTGCCACTAGTTCACATTGTGATCCTGTTAGCCATGATAATTAAAATACTACATAAACAGTATTTTATTTTTAGTTTACTTAGCCACTCTTAGTGCAGGACAGTACTGTATGTCGTTTTTAGTTTAATTATCTTCATAAACTGACCAGGTCCAATATAGGAAGCTCCGAGATGTCTGTGTCAAAACCTCTTCCGGTGATCACCAAGGGGTATACCTAAGTGTTTCAGTAATTTTTTTTAATGTAGGTACAGTACTCAATAGTATGCTAATTAAAGAGTTGGGGTCCAATTATTGGAATTTGAGTGATTGCTAAGGTGTTTTGAAACCCATATTTTTAGATGCTGTGATTTGGTGTTTTTCTGTTACTCTTTGTGTACTAAATTAGGTAAGCACATTCATTTCCAATTCCAAGACTTCAAGACAATGCTATATAGCCAGAAACTGAAACAGTTCAACCCTTCTCTACCAGGGGCTCTGGTGTAGGCATCAGATAGGTCCTGTAGGCTTTAGAAACCAGATGAAACTTTGTTATTTTTTATCGTGGTTGTGATCTCTAGTCTGCACTCAGTGTACGTTGAGGTTATGTATAAGGGATTCCTATATAAATAATGGCGTCCATTATACAAGCAGATTTTTTTAAATATGACTTAGGTTCCTTATGAAATGTATCAGCTATCATTTATATAAAATAACCAGACCAATTTCATTAAAATTCTTAAACCTTTCCACAGGTCTATGCTTGCCACGCAACAAGAACAGGGTGGAGGCACTGCCTTCGTGGAAATGCTGGATCAATCCTCCATCAGCGGATCAAGTCATAGTCCCATCGCTGGTCAGAACAAACCTGCTGTGAACTGGGGACGAAAACCCAACCAGTCATGCAAGATCCTTAATTCTGTTAAGCATTGTTTGTCACACACTGATAAGGGATGCCTTGTTGTTAAATTTTCAAATGATGGTCTAAAACTTGCCTGTGGATCTTACAAACAAATTCTTATATATGATATCATCACAGGACAGTTAGAACAAGCACTGCCTGGTCACCTTGGTCTTATTTATGATATTTCTTGGAGTGATAATGATTATTTGTTACTAACAGCCTCAGCTGACTCAACAGCAAGAATTTGGCATGTCGACACTGGGAAAGAATGTGACCAGGGCCAGGTGTTGACTCACCCTTCGTATGTGTATGTTGCTCGCTTTGTGCCTGCCAGATCACAAGTTGTCGTCAGTGGCTGCTATGATCACGTACTCAGGGTTTGGTCGTGTAGTAATTCGGGTCGGTACTCTGTTGCCCAGGAATTATCAAATCATCTTGGGTTTGTTAATGCATTGTGCTTTAATGCTGATGGAACTATACTTTTCTCAGGAGATAAACAAGGTGTTATTCTAGTCTGGAGTGTTGATGTTCCCCAAAAAGATAAAGGGAAGAAAAAGACAAAAATACTTACCTTACAACATGAAGTTAAGATCCGTGATATTGTTGGCAACATCATCAACTCGATCTCCTTTCATCCTGGTGGGTTCCGGTTGCTGGTCCACACCAGAGACAGTCAACTGAGACTTGTTAATCATAAACATTGGACAATTACTCACAGACTCCGAGGTTTGCTAAATGTGCGAGAACAAGTGCGAGGGTGTGTCAGCCCCTGTGGCACATGGGTAATATCAGGTAGTGAAGACTGTGGACTTTATGTGTGGAACTCGGATACAGGAGACATGACTTCAGCTTTTATGGATCTTCCAATAAATGGAACAATATCTTGTGTTGACTATCATCCACATGATAATATGATGGCATTATGTTCATACTCCAGTGAAGCTCCTGTTCTTATTCTGGTGTATAATCAAGAAAGTTTACCAGCCAATACCACTATTCCCATGTCTGTTCAACCAGCTGCCTCAGGAAGTTTACAGACCTCTTTAGGAGGAAGTCCAAGCCCTAGTCAGATGCCTCAGAAACAACCTGTCTACCTAAGTCTTAATAATCAGAATCACACAATGTCTAATACCATGTCTTCCCCAGTGAAGTGTCAGTCCACATCTCAAGAGTTGAGAGACTCAGAAATGAAAACTTTTTCATATAGTCAGTCAGTTGTAGAGAGAAAGACAACAATCTTTGCCCATAGTCAGTACTCGAAGAACAGTGATCAAGCTTTGAGAGAGAGACGGCTCCTGTTACACCAAGGAGATAAGATTCTTCAGAAATTAGACTTGGTGTTGAAAATGGCGAGTGAAGATCCATTAAACATGTCTGGGAGCAGAATGATGTAAGAATATGGCTGTTTTGTAAGACTTAGCATGATATATTTTTCATTCTTTTAAGGCATTTCTTACTATTATCCAGAGTGGCAGGAATCAGAAACAGAGACATTACAAACTTCCTTCATTCCTTGTTATTTAGTCATTCTTGATACTGTGTCTCATATGTTTTTTGTTGGTACAGTATTCACTTCCATTAAAAGACCCTAAATAGCCATCTTAAGTACACTTGTCACTCCACACAACCAAGAATCACTAGCAGGTCATTCATCCATCCCACCAAAAACCACAAGATGCTCTGCTTTCTTAGTTCTTTGATTTCTCTTACATTTAATATGCCCTTCCCCCTCTCATTATCACAGTGTATCCATAATGGCATCCCAATAGTGAAGGGTTAGGGGGATAACCCACTAACCACTTTTGTATATTCCCTCTATGGTAAATAAAAGTGGCATCCCAGTAGTGAAAGGGTGAAGTCAAACTATATAGAATAGTGAATTACAGTTGAAACTTATTGTGTTTTGAACATATAGTTTGTTGAAGATAGTGTGTTTATCTTGCAACTTGGTGTCTGAAAGTACAGTACATCGTCACCAATTTACATCGGGAATGTGTTTCTAGAAAATGTGATGTAAATAGGACCAACATAAATAACAAACTTGTTGTACAACATTTGTGTTATATTTTCAGAGGCAGCAAGAGTGAAGGAGTTGTACCCTTGGGTCAACTTGCCACAGTTTTGTATGATTACCACAGCAATGAAACAGATGAATTATCTGTTAAGCAAGGTATGAAAAGTCATCAAGCTATTTAAATGGCTTGTTTAAGACTAGATCCAGCTTTATTGTTCCTGAATTTATGTTTTATTGACCTAAAGAGACAAACATGTGACCTGTTAGAGATGGTCAACTTCCAGTCATATCTGGGCAGAGCTTGCCATTGTCTAGAAGGCATGAAGCACTTTACAGTGAATTTTTTTTTATTCAAAAGGACTGTACTGGTTTCAACTGATGCAACCAGCCCATATAGTAAATCTGTTTGAATTTGTAGATTACCTCAATAATCAATGAGGAATCCAGGTTGGAGTCTAAATTTTTGAGAATTCTTACCTTTACCAAATTGACCACATTGGGAGTACAGTACTGTACATACTTTATCTGCAGTTGCTTGCTGTTAAGCCACCTACCCCAGTCATACATGTTAGGGGTCTCACATTTGTTTTTTTGCATGATACCGATTCTTGGGATCTTGGAAATTACTTCACCTGACCACTTTCTAATGGACAGTGTGACATCCATGATTTTTAGGAGTTCTAAAACTAAAATTTAAGGATTTTAGTGGAGGTTTCAGGATAACATCAGAGTGTAGTGTATAAGATGGGAGAGTTGTGGATCAGTACAGTATTTGGGTTGTATCCATCTCATGTGCTGGCTGGCTGGATTAGCTCCTGTAGGATGCATTGTTTACTGAGTCCTGGAGCTTGTGTAGTACTACCTTCTCCTACATTAAAGTTGGTTATTTCAACAAGAGCCTCTTGGTGAAAGGCATCAGCTAAAAATTAGAATCTGGTCCTGAATTTCTTCTTTTTAGCAGAACCTGTAGCCTGTGTATAATACCTTCCTGACTCTAGTTGACAACCAATGTCCTAAAACTCCTTCAGTTTAGGGTGATGAATGAGGTTGAACTAATCCCAGCTGCTGAAGGAGTCGAGGCATGATAGACTCTCCTTCATGACACACAAACAAGAGTTAATTGGCTATAGACTCCACTGTAAACTAGGAATTCAGGATCAATCGCATTATCTGTAAAGTTTAATAAGATTTCTTAAAAGTTTTCAGGAGGTATTCTTTGCAGTTTGATATTTTTATTTCATCATGAGAGCATTTACAGTGTGCTAATATATCATTAATTTATGTTTTGGTCAACATTTAGTTCTTTATTATTTGGGGGTTATTTTTTTGTGAAATATCATAACACATATTCCATTACTATATCAGTTATTATTGAAAGAAAATATATGGTTTCATCTTTTATCCTATTCTCACTGACTTACAGGTGATTATGTAATGGTAGTCCAGGAAATTAATGTGGACTGGTGGCTTGTGCGCACTGCAGACAGTAAAGCAACTGGTCTTGTACCTTCATCGTACCTTCAACAGCTTCCGGGTGAACTTTGTCAACAACAACAAGATGAAATGGACTCTGGAAAAGTAAGCTATTTATGGCCATTAGTGGTTTGTCAAGTAATCCTTTTTTTTTTAGAATTAAATTTTATACTGTAGGGTATTGTTATTATGTCATCTGTCATACCATATACAGTACAGGTACTGTACTTTGGCGTCTACCTCTCCACAGTTGGTCACCATGTGCAGAGCTCCTGTGAATTTCAACTCACTAAACACTTCAATATAACTGTTTATCTGAACAAATAATCTACATATTCCTTCTGTCTCTATCCTTTCACTTTTGCCTAATATTTCCCGGTTTTATATTGTATTTTCACAATATTGTACTGATGAAAGGATTAGAAGAGCCGTAGGCAAAAGTATACTGTATGTTCATATGATATTTGAGGTGTGTATGACCTGAATGGACAAAGTGCCACTGTGGTCAAAATCGAGATTTATTTCACAAAAGGATCAGGAAACCACCTCTGGAAGTGTCATTATGGTCAATTTTGCTTTTAAGTAAAACTACCCACATGTCACTATGTGTTGGGCTGGCGGTGAGGTTGATGGATGGCATATCACAGGCAGGAAAGTGCCAGAGGTCTCTTTTTTTTTTTATGGTGCTTTGTCCACTCTTGTTGTACCTGCCTCATTTAGTCTCTGACTTTCTAAAGATTAAATCTGAGCTTTAATGAAAAGCTAGAAAAAAGGGGAAAAAAGTATAGTTATTGTGAGAAGAAACACACAATGGCAGACAAAATGGAATAAACATTTCATGTGCCATTGTGGGTTTCTACCCATATTTTGTTGTTCATGTTGTGTTGTTTCTCCTGCTATTATAGTTTTGTATTTGTAATTAATATGTTATGTGTTATGAGAAATATTTATTCTAATTATATATCCACACAGGTAATTGCAGTACCATCAAGTTCTGGAGATGTCAGTTTCATTTCTGATGTTGAAGGAACCCCAAGCAAAGCTCGTGCACGGAGACACAAAGTGAAAGCAATATCAGCGAAGATAATCACCTCAGTTCCAAAAAGCAAATAAGATTATAAAGCAAATACCCTGTACTGTAGTTTGATGTAAAAACATAGCTGTGTTGTTTGGTAATACAGTGAGTTCTCGCTTAACGTCAGGGTTATGTTCCTGAAAACGCGACGTCTTACGAAACAACGTTAAGTGGATCAATTTTCCCCATAAGAAATAGATAAAATACGGGAGATATAGGTCCTCTCAGGCATCCTCGTCCAAAAGACACCAGTTTCATCCACATTGGTTGTTGTGAGTAACTCTTGTATAGCAGGGGGGGGAGGAATGGGGTGTATGGGTTTTGGGAGGGTGTGGCAGAGTGCAGCACAGAGCCAGGGGTCATTGCTACACCTCCACTGGTTTTTACCTCTACCTAGGGGGATGTTTTGTGTACTTCCACCCAGGAGGGGGAGGCACCAGCTCTACTTCCCACTCAGGAGGAGGCACCTGTTTTACTCCACCCAGGAGGAAGTGAGCCTGTAAACCCAGGATGGGTGTTTATTTTCTTCTTTTCTTTCTTTTCTTTCTTTTTTCTTTCTTATGGATGTGGTGGGATTCACCTTCCTGTCAGTGGGTCCTGATGCCTGTGCTTGATGGATGGTACTATTCTCACTTCCCAGGATGGGATTCTTTCTTTTTTCTTTCTTTTTTTTTTTTTGGTTGGGTGGGATTCTCACCCTTTCCAGTCAGTGGGTCCTGATACCTTCCTGTGCTAGACAGATGGTACCATTCTCCACCCAGGATGGGTGTGATTCTTCTTTCTTTCTTTTTCTTTCTTCTTCCTTCTTTCTTTTTCTTCCTTCTTTCTTCTTTCTTCTTCTTTCTTATGGATGGTGGGGGGATTGACACCTTCCCAGTCAGTGGGTCCTGATACTCTGCTGGCGCCTGACAGATGGTACCATTCTCCACCTTCCAGGATGGGTGTCATAGCTGTTGTCACCCACTCGTTGTGATTAGTTCTGGGAGAACTGGCTGGGTCCAGCCTCGTTTTGTGCCATGGTGAGCTGGACGGTTGTACTTGGCTGGGCCGCCAGGGGACACTGATCATCATTCCAGGTTGTTTTTGTTGTTTTTAGTTTTTTCTTCACTATTTATTTATTTGTGCAGTTATTAATATTAATTTGTACTAAATAGCAGAGTTATGTGATGTTTTTGTTTGGTTAGGTTCTGCAAATGTCTATTAACTATTCATCAGGATCTATCTTGATATGTTTCACCAGTCGCTGATAGATAGACATGAGTCATATACACTTGTATACACGCACACACATGATGTACAAGACAGTCATATATGACACACATGACAGTCAAATACACAAGACAGTCATACACACATATGAGTCACTACTATCCTGACCACCGGGGTCAAGACGTACCTGGCGCTCTTGAGCGAGGTCAACTGTTGTTGGCCCATACCAACCCTCCCCTGAACCCTCTCCCACCGGAATATCAACATAGTTCACGCCAGAAGTTACTATTTCATTTAGGAAAGGAATGGAACCAGTGTTAAATAGAGGTAACAGTGCTGCTGTGAGAACAACTCAACAGTAACAGTCGCACCTGTTAACCTTTCATACAGTGAGGTCCCAGGTACTGTGATAATGGCCCGTGAGACCCAACAACCAGCGAGTGTTAATCCGCTTCACGATAGGGGTGCCTGGGACCACACCTCACTCATATAACACCGCCTGGAGGGAATTACACACGGAGGCCCCGTGAAACACCATCTGTGAGGGAATTACTACACCACGGAGGCCCCTATCACCATCTGTGAGGGAACTACTACACCACGGAGGCCTCGAGATAACACCATCTGTGAGGGAATTATTCACCCGTGAGGTCCCTCATAACACCATCTGTGAGGGAATTACTACACCACGTGAGGCCCCTTATAACACCATCTGTGAGGTAATTACTACACCACGGGAGGCCCTGATAACACCATCTGTGAGGGAATTACTACACCACGGAGGCCCCTCATAACACCGCTGTGAGGAACAACTACACCACGTGAGGCCCCGTGATAACACCATCTGTGAGGTAACACACCACGGAGCCCCTGATACACCATCTGTGAGGGAATTACTACATGGGAGGCCCCCATAACACCATCTGTGAGGGAACAACTACACCACGTGGAGGCCCCGATAACACCATCTGTGAGGGAATTACACACCACGTGAGGCCCCATAACACCATCTGTGAGGGAACAACCACACCACGTGAGGCCTCGTATAACACCATCTGTGAGGGAATTACTACACCACGGAGGCCCTCATAACACCATCTGTGAGGAAAACCACAGGAGGCCCTGACACCATCTGTGAGGGAATTACTACACCACGTGAGGCCTGGTACACCATCTGTGAGGGAATTCACCACGTGAGGCCCTCATAACACCGCTCTGAGGGAACCACTACACCACGTGAGGCCCCGTGATAACACAGCCTGTGAGGAAATTACTACACCACGTGAGCCTCATAACACCATCTGTGAGGGAATTACTACACCACGGAGGCCCCTCATAACACCGTCTGTGAGGGAACTACTACACCACGTGAGGCCCCGATAACACCGCCCAGAGAAATTACTACACCACGTGAGGCCCCTCATAACACCATCTGTAGGAATTACTACACCACGGAGGCCTCATAACACCATCTATGAGGAAATTCTACACCACGTGAGGCCCTCATAACACTGCCTGGAGGAAGAACTACACCACGGAGGTCCCTCCTAACACCATCTGGGAGGAGTACACACTACGGTTTGCTGTTCAACACCTACAATAATCTGTATGTTCTTTACCTTTCTAATGAAGGCTTTTTGTTAAACCACCACAATGTGTTTATGTCCATGGCCAGGTGTGTTGCAACCAACAACCAATTTCCAAATAAAAACCTAACACACACAGTCAGACAGAGAAGTAGGCAGAAAGAGACAGACATAGACAGTTTGGGGGGGGTTGGGCAAACAGACAGAGGAACAGAGACAGACACACACACAGGAGACAGACAAACAGACAGACACACTGACAAAGACTGGAAGACAGACAGACAATCAGAAGACTGAGGACAGAAGAGAAAGATAGAAAGTTGAGAAAATAGACTGAGATAAACACAGATAGACAGAGACTGACAGTCAGGTAGACACACAAGAGACACACACAGATAGACAGATAAACAAAGACAGACAAACAGAGTGTGACAGAAATTCTGGATGCTTGTCACTGTCTGTCTGCTGTGCCTATATGATCTCTGCCTGTCTGTCTGCCTATGTCTGTCCGTCTGACTCTCGGTTTGCTTTTGTCTGTCTTCTCAGAATGTCTGTCCTTCTGTCTCTACTGTCTCTGTTTGTCAGTCTCACTGTCTCTGTTTGTCAGCTCTCTGTCTGTCTCCATCTGTCTATCACTGTCTCTGTCATTCTGTCTGTGTCTATTTGTCTGTCTCTTTTGTCTGTGTCTGTCTGTCTGTCTTCTACTCTTGTCTGTTTGTCTCCGTCTATCCTCTCTGCCTGTCTGTTTGTCTCGTCTATCTGCTTGTGTCTGTCTATCTGTCTGTCTCTCAGTGTTTTCACTTTTTTTGTCTGTCTGACTGTTTGTCTCTGCATCTTCTGTGTCTGTCTGCTCTTGTCTCTTTTCTTTCTATCTGTCTGTCTGTCTGTTTGTCTGTCCGTCTATCTCTGCATATCTGTCTGTCTGCCTGTGCTCTGCCTATTTGTGTCTGTCTGTCAGCATTTCTCATTCTGTTCATCTGCCTTTTCACTACACCACACCACACCACACTACCCCACACCACACACACACACCCCACACCACTCCACACCACACCACACCACACCAACTTCACACCACACCACACTACCCCACACCACACCACACCACTCCCCACACCACACCACACCCCACACCACACCACACCCTACACCACACTACCCCACACCACACCACACCACACCACACCACACCACACCACACCACCCCACACCACACCACACCACACCCACACCACCCACCCCACACCACTCCCCACACCACACCACACCACACCACCCACACCACACCACACCACCCACACCCACCCACACACCACACCACACCACACCACACTCCACCCCACACTACCCCACACCACACCACACCACACTCACCTACACCACACCCACACCACTCCACTCCTACACCACACCACACTACACTACCCAACACCACACCACACCACCTACCCCACACCACTCTACACCACACCACACCACACTCACCCAACACCACACCACACCCACTCCCTACACCTTCCCCACACCACACCACACCACACCACCCAACACCACACCCCACACCACACCACTCCCACACCACACAACACCACCTACCCCACACCACACCACACCACACAACCCCACACCACACCACACCACACCACCCCACACCACACCACACCACACCACCCACACCACAACCACACCACCCACCCCACACCACACCACACCACCACTCCCACACCACACCACCACCACACCACACCACACACCACCTACCCCACACCACACCACACCACCTACCCCACACCACACCACCACCCCACACCACACCACACTACACCCTCACCACACCACACAACCCAACACCACACACCACCCACACTACCTACACCACACCACACCACACACCCACACCACACCACACACTACACCACCCCACACCACACCACACCACCCCACACCACACCACACCACCTTACCCCACACCACCCACCCCACACCACACCACACCACCCCACACCACACCACACACCACACCACCCAACACCACACCACACCACACCACTCCCACACCACCCCACACACCACACCACACCACACCACCCCACACCACACCACACCACCCCACACCACACCACACCACCTTACCCACACCCCACCACACCACACTCCCACACCACACCAACACCACTCACACCACCCCACACCACACCACACCACTCCCTCCCACACCACACCACACCACCACACCACACCACACCACCCCACACCCCACACCACCTACCCCACACCACACCACACCACACCACACCACCCACACCACACTACCCCACACCACACCACACCACCACTCCCCACACCACACCACACCACACCCCACCCCCACACACCACACCACACCCCACACCACACCACACCACCCACCCCACACCACACCACACCACACCACCCAACACCCACACCCCACACCACCCACCCCACACCAC